CACACACACACACACACACACACACACACACACACACACAGAAAATGACATTTCTGATCTCTAAATTAATTTTTAAAAGACCTTGTGATATAAAGGTCACTATTTAGGATATAGAAAAAGTAACAGAGAAGACTATGTACTTTGAGATTAAGCTAATTTGTGATTATTTAAGTTGAAATTCTCTTCTGCCAACTTAACATTTTAATATTGAACATTTTAAGATATAATAAGTCATTATAATTTAGATTTTTATCTTCCTAGTGTTTAGGTTGCATAGTTTTCTATATTTCAGTATTCTGTTAAAAATAAATTCTATAAATAAATTTATGAAAGTTATATGCATTCATGCAACAGCCAACATTCTGGCTGTGAGTGAATGGCATTTGTTTATTTATTTTGCTTCTGATTTTATGAAAACATTTACAGATAATTAAGAGAAAATAACAGACCATAATCTAACCTGAAATAAAAAATTTTCAATAGCTAGGACAGTAGAGAAAGGGCACAAATTTTAAAAAATTTATGAAGTTATTAATTTTTGGCTATTCATTTGACGCTGATGACTAAAAGAAGAAATGAATGTGATCAGTTATGCAATCTTCATTGCCTGTAAGAAAAGAACATACTACTTGCTCTGGTTTGTTTTAAACAAGGAAGAGGAACATGAGAGTTCCATTATAAAATAAGTATGGGAAGAAATGCTCTTTAGGGAATGTCTAAAGTTTCTAAATCCGTCAGCATCTTTAAAAAAGTAGTAGGTTATATGTTGACAAAAGCTTTAATATCAACTTTGTAATGGGCACAGAAGAAATCTGACAGTTTGTATAAGCTGGGAATTGTTCAGATAGATATTCTGTAGATAGACTTCAGTGTAACTCCACAGCATGTGAAAGGTGACTGTCTGGGGATGTACCAACAATGTCATTCACATACTTACCTTTATATGGTTCTGAAAATAGACCATAGACTCTGGAAGCATAGGTGAACCCCATTACTTTAGATGACCATTCATGCATTTCATATCTCTTGAAGGTTTTTAATAAAGCTATGCAAGGATTTGAAACACACGTTCATTTCAAGTTGCAGTTCCTCATCAGTCCTTTTGCAATGGAAAATAAAACAAATAGTATACTAATTTTTGTGGTAATAGAGCTTCATAGAAGTTGTTACACTGTATTGCAATAACAAATCTTCTCAAGGGCAAAGAAAAATCTAATTTATCTTTGTACCTTAGCATCTAGCAAAGCAAGTGGAACATAATGGATTTTTTTAATCTATCATACTTTCCTGAATGAGTGACTTTTGGAACTTTGAGAGCATCATCACCTCTCATGTAGCTTGAAAAGGGTCAAGGTCATGTACCAACTAACACCAAGGAATCTCATTTATAGTGAAAGCTTTCCTTTGGCCTCAATTCAAAAGCACTAACTGGAAACATTATATTAGATGATGTACAAATGGATGTTTTTAAAATTAGAAAACCATCCAGAGGGGGAAAAATTTGTGTATGGACTTACGTCAATGGTCATACAGATGATCTAGAAATAACAGCACTGTGCCAGCGAAACTGAATGAGAATTAGATATGTAACACCCAGATTTTTTGAAAGGTTTATTTTTATTTATGTATGTCTGTGTAAGTATATGTTATATTCATGTGGGTGCCAGAAGAGGGCATTGGATCCCTAGGAGATATAAGTGGTTGTGAATTATCCAACATGGGTGCTGGGAACCAATTTAGTGTCCTCTGCAAGAGCAGCAAGCACTCTTAACCACTAAGTCCACCCCTCTAACATCAAGATTTTTAAGAACAGGCTTCATGAGACAATTCAGAATCTTTAACCATGATGTGATTCTTAGAATGAGATTCATATCTACAGCAGAATTATGTACTTGGTTCTGATCCTGTGAGCTAGGCTTACAAAGAGATTGCAGAACATAGTATAGAAATAGAGAGTTGAGTCAGGGGCCAGCAAGATGACTCATCAGGTAAAAGGTGCTTTTCCCCAAACATGACAACCTGAGTTTAATCCCCAGGACCTACATAGTAGAGGGAGAAAATTGCTTCCTGTAAGTTGTCTGCTGACCTCCACATGTGCACTGTGGCACATTTTCCCCTGCCACACAAACAAACAAATAAATAAAGATTTTCAAAAATAGGGTGAAGTCCAGTATGGTGTCATATGCCTTGAATCCCAGCACTTGGGAGACAGAGGCAGGTGGGTCTCTGTGGTATTGAATCCAGCCTGGTCTACATAGTGAGTTCCAGGCTGGCTGGGGCTACAGGGAGACCCTGTCTCAAAAACAAAACAAAACCAAACAAAAGTAGAAAGAGAGGCGCCAACCATAGCATGGGTCCAGATATTACCAAAATTAAAAATCAAATTAATCAATTTCATAAATAGTTTGTTAATGTTGTGTAAACAAATTGTTTACATGAGTAATTTGGACTTATTTAAATAGGTTGTTTTGCAACTGTCTTGCTTTTTAGATTTACTGTTATTTTTATTTGTGTGTGTGTGTGTGTGTGTGTGTGTGTGTGTGTGTGTATGCGCGCGTGCCACACATGTGGAGGCCAGAGGAGGATATTGGATCCACTGGAGCTGAAGTCACAGGCAGTTGTGGGCCACCATGTGGGTTCTGGAAACTGAACTGGAGTTCCTCTGGAAGAGCAGCAAATATTCTTAGTCACTGAACCATCTTTTCAATAACAGTTTTAAAACATAGACGGGGTGAAATTATCTTCTTTCTTGGACTCTATAAGGAACTACATTACCAAACTACAATACTTCTAGCACCTTGATAGTAGAAAAGTGGTCACAAAACTAGCAACCTCAGCTCAGATGTTGTTAGAAATGAATAAACTGAGACACAACCACCCATCTCCTGAATCAGCATCTGCATTTTCACAAATGTGCAATTCATAAGTACACTAAATTTCAAGCAACTGTTTTAGTATAGAGTAGTAAGAAAAAAAGTAGACCTTCACAAATTTGTAAATGTCAATAAAGTCACAAACACGTCATAGAAAAAGATACATCTTTCATTCTTTCACAGTGAGCATTTAGATTAGCTATCTCTTAGGATGATTTAATAGTTTTAAATTTAAAAGTGGTAACACACACCTTTAATCCCAGCACTTAGGAGGCAGAGACCGGTGGCCTGTGAAATCAAGGCCAACTTAGTCTAAATAGTGAGTTCCAGGCCAGCTAGGACTACAGAGAAACCCTGTCTCAAAAAGATAAATAAATAAACAAATAAATTTAAAGGAAGAAAATTTTTTGAAATGATGGTCTTATACAAACTCTAAGTTTTATTTTCTGCAATTTAAAATATATTTTTATTAATTCTTTGGTGATTTCATATACTACATTTTGATCATATTCACTCCCCACTTCTCCCCCTAACTCCTCCCAGGTCCACCTCAACCTCTCCAACCCCTCCCAACATCACATCCTGTTTCATTTTTTAAAATAACTCACTGAGTCCAATTTGTGCTGACACGTGTGTGGTCATTTACTGGAGTATGATCAACCTACCAGGGACCATACCCTTAAAAAACTTTCTCTTGGGACTAGAGAGATGGCTCAGTGGTTAGGAGCACTGGCTGCTCTTGCAGAAGACCAAGGTTCGAATCCCAACACCCACATGGTGGCTAACAACCATTCAACCATTCAAAACTCCAGTTCCATGGGATCCAAAACCCTCTTCTGGCCTCCGTGGGCACCACACAATACAGATATAGGTACGCTTACACACATGCAGGCATAACACTCATACACATAAAATAACTAAATTTTTAAAACTCTCTCTTCTTCCCCATAAGCCATTGCCTCTACATGGCTCTTCAATTAAGGGTGGGGTCTTGTTCCCTCTCCCCTTCATGACGGAATGTTGATTGACTTGATCTTGTGCAGTTCTTATGCAGGCAACCACACTTGCTGTGCGTTCACGAGTGCAGTGGTCCTGTCGTGCCTGGAAGACAGTTTTGCTCTGGTCCTCCTTTGCATCCGGTTTTACAATCTTTTCTTCTCCTTTTCCAAAATGGCCAGAACCTTGTGGGGAGGTGATGGAGATGTCCCACTTGCTGCTGAGCAAGTGATACTGGCACTTATTTTCTTGAGACTTTTTTTGTAAAATCAATAAATTTCCTAAAAGTAAATATTCTAGATGCCTATTAAATTATATCCTAGTCACACTCACATCATGTGTTCTCATCTTTAAGGAACAAAACAAAACATGAAGGATGTCCCAACTCTGTATCTACATATCCCATAAATATCCACAGCTCAATAGTTTATAAAAGGAACAATCAAGTTTGTAGGGAATCTACAAGTGCTTGCAAAGTGTAGGTTCTGGGAATAATGTCAAAACATGAATGCAATTGGAAATATTAAAACTGAGTATGGAGAAACAGCCAAACTTTTACAGGAATGAGGAAGAAGTGTCTGACGCTTTGGTTTGTTCTCCTTTGGACTCGGGTTTGTTTGAAATGTATGTGTATATTCGACACTTTAAAAACCTGCATCGCAGCTTCCTTGAGATTTTGTGGTCGTTTAAGGGCCACCTCAGCATTTCAGCACTGCGGACAGCTCCGAGGCCGCTGTGGAATCAGTGGGGTGGGGTTTGTATGGAAAACTGCGTGGGTGGGGGAAGAAAACTCCAAATGACGCATCAGACTCCCGTTAAACCAGTACCTCTTTCCCTCCGTTTTCACCTTTGTCTGATAAGAGGAAACGTAATAATTTAGTGCCTTCTATCAGTCTGAGGCTGCTGTCACCACGCACAGCAAAATGCCTTCGGCACATCTGGGCAGGCAGCAACGAAAAGGATTTTGCAAGGCATTAATTAAACCCTCACTACCCTAGGAGGTACAAACAGTGATGAACCCTGATTGCTAACCTTCAGGGTGTGATGGGAATGAAAATGAGCTCCCGCCCCCGCTTTCTTTCTAGCAGGGCGGAAGAACAGATAGAGCCTGTTGCTGCTGTTGCAGATCCCCTTCCCCCTCTTACATCCTACCTCCTTTCAGTCTTCACCCCATACACAACCAGACACTCGCACGTACACACACTCTCAAATATTTACACACTGCCGTACCGGAGAATACACACACGCACATACACCTTCCTGCAAACACCGCACACATACTTCAGCGATTGCCCACGTCCTGTCTCCCACCCAGACACAGACCTTTCCACACGTAGGCCAGGAAAGCGCGACCCACAGTCCTGTGACGCCACGCAGGTCCTAAGAATACGCCTTTTTACATTGAGCGGATCTGCGAACACAGACAAACCTGCCAACCCCTTAAGTCTACTGGCTGGATTTCATCTCCATGGCAACAAACATGGAAGGTGAGACATCCATCGCTGTCTGCGAAGTAACTATCTCCCCCTTCCTCAGCATTCACCGACAGGGCTAGAGTGCAGATCCAGATGAGGTGTCCTCATTCTCAAGCAAAAGAGCCGGGTAGGGGGGCGGCGGGGAACCTACAAGGTCTGGAGAGTTCAAATTCTAGAGAGAAAAGAATCCTAATGCCTCTGCAGCTAATGATGATGTAAAAAAAAAATAAAAATGTGTTTTGTGTGTGCAGATTGCTGATGCTTCCTCCATAATGTTTGTAGGAAGTTTCCATACTTCCTTCAGCTTACTATGTAGAAAGATGACTGCAGACAGCATGGGATAAAGGTGATCTTAGGCTTCTCTAGTGAGACATGCTGAGAATATTCAGATCAGGTTTACCAGTGCTTTGGAAGGAATGAGTGTCTGAGGAGCCACGCAAATATTCTCTTAAAGAAATTCTCCTAAGGTTGAAACCTCCAGGGCTTTGGGGTGGATTCTTGAAGATCCTGAGGTTTTGGATCTCTAGGAAAATGAAATGCGTGCACTTCATCATGATGAAGACATCTGGGTTTGTAATTTAAGGTTTTCCTTTTATTCCAATGCATTCCATTCTTAATGATTAGCTCAATAATGCTTTCTGTTTCTCCTTACTTGGAATAAGATCTAATGATCTTTGTATTTGGTATATCTGGTGTATCTGCTGTGTATATAGAGGACAGGTCATTAGTTTTTAAGTTTGGCTCTGTGTCTCATTTCATGAAATTACAAATATCATCTCATTAGAGATTTTTGTCTAGTGATTAGGACTAAAACAGTTCTTACCTAGAACATTATTCCACTCAAATAGTAACTCTTTCAGATTTATTGTTGTTATATTGTTAATAGATAAACAAGAGAAAAAAACCTGTTGATTAAAATGGAAACATGGGTTCTTTTGTATTTTTAATAGATGTATTCATTTTACCTTGGCTTCTGCAATTGTATGTTATTGTGTGCAAATTAAATAACTATTTCTCAAAAGTGAATTTTTATAGCTCCTAATCAGTAAATAATTCACAGACGAAATAAACATTACCTATACTACATTCATGTACATGAAAAGCTACAGAACAGGTATTAAAAAAAATATGTTCAGTAAGATACTTACAATCGTATGGTTTGAATAACTGATCAGAGAAGAACTTTGGTTTTTCAGTTCTTTGTTGCTAATTACAAAGCGACTCCATGACATCTGGGCCTTTTGATACCTACAGGTATACCCTTGGCCCAGTGGTATGACTCATCAGGACTTACAAATCTCTGTATCTGACATTTATCATGAAAGAAAAGAGGTACTTTCAATCTGAATGCTCACTACCAAAGTACCTAACTAGCAATTCCAGTGAATATATCTCCAAGTAGTATTTTATACCTAGCAGCAGTATTATAAAAATATACTTTACTGTTTCAGCCATTTCACATATATAGTCTCTGATATATAACCTGTACCATGTTAATAATGTACCCATTTTGTGTTATATCACATTTATAATAAACTTTACCACACTCCAGCTTTTACTTCAACATTAAAAAAAAATTTTTTTTCTCAACTATTTTTTTCTCATCTGGATTTTTATCAGTTCATAGTTTTGTTCCTTTGCAATGTGTCTCTCATATTCCTTTTTCTTTCTGCCTCTCAGTAAACAAGATGCTAAGATGTTGTTTTCCACCTGAGGTAGCCCTTCCTTAAAGGTTTGCACTGCAGAACTTACTGATTGTTTGTTTCCTAGCTCTTCCAACAATCACAGAAAATGAAAATGTGTTTTTTACCCATAGTTGTGAAGTATTTTTGATACTTTACTAATCAAGAAGAAATCAGTGTTGCAACTGAAGACACCTATTTGTTTATGATAATGTTATTTGCAATATTTTTATCACATTATACTCCACATCAAAAAAAAGGCATGGAACTCAGAAAACAGCGATATATTCTCGAAAACTTCAGACTTTATGTTGAAATATGACAAGTTATTTATTTTACTTGTCAAATAACATGGGAAAGTTTGGAATTATTTGGAAAAGCTAGGCGTCGAACACCAACATTTCAGGTGCTACATATATCTTAAACATGAAGTCTATTTGCTGAACATGATGTTCAGCAAGTGCTTAACTTTTGCTTTTATTTCCTTATAAATGGAGTTTGCATCAATAAGCAGATTTAAAAACTTTTTTCCATTTTCTTTTCAATTATTCTCATAGACCTGATTTTTGTTTTCATCTCTAGTATAAAGTAGAATTTAAAGATGAATACAAAATTCTTTTTTTCCTTTTAATATGTTTGTAAGGGACTGGAGAGATGGCTCAATGGTTAAGATGGCTACTCTTCTGGAGGACCTGGTTTAGTTCCCAATACCCACATAGTAGCTAACACCTGTCTATAGGTTCCAGGGGATCCAGTGCCCTCTTCTTGTCTTGAGAGTTGTACATGTACATGGTACACTTACATACATGCTGTCAAAACACTCATACAAAATAAAATAAAAATAAATGCATGAAAAATTAAGATATTAATAAAACTGTTCTTTCTCAACACAAACTTTTTGTTTCTTAAAAAAAGGAAGGTTCATGGTTCATTAAACCTTGCATAAATTTACTTCCTTTTCCTTTGGAAAACTGTTTAAAACCTTATTTTTTAAAATAATTCAAATTTTGATGTATTGCCCTTCTGTACTTTTTGTGAAACTAATTTTTTTTCAAATTTTCGTTTCCATGTAACTCCATTTTCTCATTAGCCATTACAATAAAATTCCCTTCAATATAATATTCTTCCAGAAATTTCTATAAGGGTGAAATAATTCTGAACACCAGGCCTTGTTTTTCGGTGCTTATTTTCCATCCTCCCCACAGAATTTGACAGTTTTTCAGTGCCTCCATCTAGAAAGCTTGGCCTTGTTTGTCCTGGGTGAATTTCCTAGGATGGATTTATTCATGATCCTGAGTGCTTTTTATGAGTCCGCTGGGAGATCCTGTTTTCCCTCTGCAGGAGGTGCATGCATTAAGGTTTATTGATAGCTTTTTTTCTACATTCAATCCTATCTGGAAATAGCAAACCGCATCTCATGGGACTTTCAACAAAACTTTCCTAGATCAGTCTAGACCCTCCTTTCCTAGGCAAATTCAGTTTTTCCCTCTCTGGCATTTTGAATTACAAATATTTTTATGGACTGGGCTTTCCATCCTTCATAATCTAAAGTTTATTTGATGATCAGTCTCTAAAATATTATCTACACCAGGAATTTCATGTTTCACAATATGATCTTGATGACTTATTTCATGAGAATCACAAACTATGTTCAAAAGAAACTTTTTGCCTACTTCCTAGGTCTGCAATACACTCTACTTTTCTTCACTTGCTTAGTGAAAAACTCTCTTACATTCATGCAACTGAACAGAATGGAGCCATCTTTGATGCTTCTCTTTAATCACACACTGCAAATCCTATCCTTCCTGTTTTTATAATCCCTTTCAAATCTGACCCTCTTCCACATATGCACTCATGCAGACCTTCATTGTTTCTCACATGAAGCAATTTTTTCCATTTCTTGTAAGCATGTAGAAGATAATAAGTTCAACCCCATTCGGCTACTGTGGGAGCAAAATAATGTGTGTAAATCACTATCATGCCACAGAAACCCAGTAGCTGTTGAATAGTTTGTTTTCTTTTTCATTGCCTTTGAAAAAGAAAGTAGAAGACTTAATTGTTTTATTATTGTTTGTACATGACTCCTTGTTTGTACTTGCTAGTTGGAGCCTCTCTCAGTAAAGGGGTCCTATCTACTACAACATAACAGCAATTCAATAAATATTTTGGACTCAATTATGGTAAATACCTATTAATTTAGGCATAATAATAGTGTTGCAGCTCTGTATCATTTGTCCATTCAATTTAAGGTTGCATTTGCTTTTCAAGGAACCACCTCATATCTTTGATTTATACTAATTTTTGATGAATAACAACTTGAATATTTCATGTCAATTGATGTTTCCCCAACTTGCAGTTCATATATCTCCCTTCTTCATACTTAAACATGAGACTTTTAGAAATGGTTCTATTAAAAGTTATGTTCCAGTTTCAGATCAGAATTTAAGTCACTAGAATCATTTTGAATCTTGATTCTGGAAGCTACCATATCATTTCAGCCAAGTTTTGTATCAAATTTAATAATTATGACTTCAATGTCTTCATCCTAGTCATTGTTTTTAACAGCTAAGATAGGTAAGGTTAGGCTTTCGTGATTCTACATCAAAAACCTGTGTCCATGAGTAAAGAACCTGGTATTTACTAAGGTAGTTAAATGAATGATGGCTCTACATAAAAAGACGATAAACACATATCTCACATCTTCCTCACAAAGGTATTATGAGAAAAGGTTCATGCACTGCCTAAGTTACTAAACCATGTCTGTACTATTTCTCCAAATCAGCATGCTAGCAGCAAACTATCAAAAGGTGAATTTGTCTTACGGTATATGCTGTAGTTTAAATGTGCTGTTTTCCCCAAAGGTCCAAATATGTTAAAGGCATGGTTCCCACCCATAGGACTATTGGCAGGCAGAAAAGTCTTTAGTAGGAGCTGGTCTGTATAAAAAGAAGTTAGGTCACTGCAGATGTGCTTTGAAGGGGATAGTAGGATCTTGGACTTTCCTTCCTCTCTTTGTTTCCCTGTAGCCATGAAGTGAACAGTCCTCCTCTTTCATGCCCCTATCATGCTACTCTGCCTTGCTCCAGAACCAAACTAGCAGGACCATGTGATCATGGCTGAGCCTCTGAACCAGTAAACCACAATAAGTTTTTTCTCTTTTCTTTGATTCTTTGATATTTGCCAATGATGGAAAACTGGGTAGCATGACATTACCCATTTAACTCCTGTTACTTTTAGCTCCTTTTTAAGTGCTGAAATTACTTCGTAACATACATTAGTTACACGTTGTTAACAGAATTTTCATAATTTCCTCTTACTCCTTTTTTTGAA